GAATGAAACCGTGTATTAAATCACTACCTAATATCTCTATCGTATAAAATAATATATTATGTATTTGTTATAAATAAATATTCTATGCAACATCCTTTCTCCTGTCTGTATTAAAGGCCGTATTGAAACTTTTGAAGATTAAACCGTTGTTAATTTAATTTAAATAATAGCAATTAAACTATTCAAAATATCTTTTTAGCAAATATATGTTTACATGAAAAAACAACGATTATTTGATTATTAAAATTACTATACGAAATGCATTATGTTTTATTGTAAAATATACTTAAAAAGTAGATGGATATAAAGGGTCAAAAACGCCATACCTTTTAGCTACGTGTTGTACCTATATAACATAACGTCCAAAATTGTTCATACGTGGGTCGTGGATGTACGGGCAGTTCCATTACTAACCTTACTAATTACACAATTCATGTATCAATATGAAAATAATATTTAAATTCAAGTGGTGCAGAATTAGAAATAAGGATTTCCATTATTAATAGGTTAGGAAATTTTGAGGGCGAGTAAAATCGACCAATCTCTGAATGAGGTCGACTGTTTCTTTGCAGCTACAGTTGTGTAATTCTTCTTTGTTATTCCAAACATCTATATTGGAACGGAAAATACTGACTAGCTCCTTTGTCTAAGTAGGTGAAAGTAGCATAGCAACACAGAATTGGTCTAGTTATTATTCATTTATTAATATACCCAAGAGTACTTGAACTGAAATTGTTGTATACAAGTTATAGAGGCTTTACGCACTTGTACATGTCTCATTTTCTTTTTTATGTATATAAGAAATATCTAATTTAAAAAAAAACTTTATTTGTCATACAGAATTTTCTCTTCTCCCGCTGAACCCTTTCTATTCCTGAGATAAAAGTTACCTACTATATAGAATTCTAAATTCATGTAATTATTCTCGCATTGCGACAACGCCTAAATATAAGAAGATGATAGACTATAGAGTAAAAACTTAGGTATACATATGTACTGTTTAATAGAAAGCCATCCAGCAATTTAATGTGCCTTAACAGAATGTTTGTAACTCTTTCGACGTCATCATGCAACCAATATCTGGAAATCTTTGCTATCCAAGGATACTTTGTGTTTAAAGTTTGCAAGATTTAGCGATTGATTGGTAAACGTAGTAATTTAGGTACACTATAGTAAACCTAACTTAACTACATGCATTATTATATTATTGAACCCCTATTTCTTATCCCGTGGTTACCTTTATTTTCAGTAGATAAAGTAGTTTATGTAAATATTTATCCCAAGTCAATATACCAACCCACCTATAAAATTTTTGGAAAAGTCGGCCAAGCAGTTCCGAAGATACAGAGAGTATACTTTTTAATGTACTTAGTAGCCTCTGAAGAAACCGTGCCACCATTTTATATGCACCTACTTAGGTATAATTTGTAGGATGTACTGAGTGTAATTGAAGCCCATTCTTAATTACCTACTAATAATTATTAAAAGGAAGAATTAATTATAAAGAGGCAAAGTTTGTTTGTTTGAATGTCAATCCATTACTCCGTTTCGACGTGAAAGAAGGACAAACAAATAAACAAACACACTTTCACATTTATAATATTAGTAAAGTTATTTAAGTCATGCATGCATGCTGTGCTATGCACCGTAGCACTAAAACTATCTACGAGTAAACTATAAGTAATGGTGTCAGTTTAGAAAAATAGACAAAACCACTATTTATTTTGAAAATTGACTAAATTATGTAATTTTCGTGAATATTTTCATTATAATAATTCCTTATGGACTTTTATATTAAAGTAAATCGATTTAAGTAAAATTATATCTTTCCATTAAGTTAAGTTTACCGCTGTAATACGTCGTTTTTTAATTGAATACCTCATCACGACATTTAAGATTACCATAATATATTATGTAAATACATAACATAATTTTAAATAAAGTTCCGATATAAAATCCTAGGTACAGTATGCGTGACGTCCATAAAGTTGACCTGAATAAGAGCTATCATTGACCCACTGACCTACTGCACTTGGCTCGCGTTCCCCAAATCTGCCCCACCCTCCCCCAGCCTCCATAGCGACACGCAAGTTCATTTGATCGATTCAAATGGCCCTTTTAATGTCCCTTTCCGACTTATATACCTATAACCATTATAATATGTAGATAGATTTCCTTTATATTGTGTTACTAGCAGAAATATGATGTCGTTAGTACATTTTGTGCAGACACATATTGCATTTGAGGCGTTTATGTTCAAAGTACTTATGTATGTACTAATTTATTAATTTAGTGTAAGTTCGAAAACTTAGTATAGTAAAACTTTGTGTAAATTTGGACAATCAATATAATCATACATAAAAATTGTTTATTTAACTTAAATGTATTTTTTTTATATTTGTGAAAAAGACTACAACATTAAAGATTGTCTTTATCGATAATGTTAGTAACTTTAAGAGTATAATCATCACGGTTACTGACACTATTTTTAAGATGTTGTTTTTACATATTATATGATTAATAATTTTATTAATATGTTTTAAAGTAAAATCTACGTTAAACGTAAAAGTTCAACGAATAATTAGAATCAATCCCGCATTGATAGTAATAGGATTTAATAATTTACATTGCCATGTTCTAATACAAGCGTGAATCGACATGCCGCCTATTACTCCACTGTATTACGATGCGTTACATCAACGCGCGTCACCGGACGCGGGGAAAGTGTGACGTCAGATGCGCGCATGCAAAGAAAGCAAAGTTGCGCGTGCGACGGTGCGACTCGGCAAGTTGGAGCACTCTTGCTTTCGTAGGAGGCCGCGGCGTCTGAGCGATAGCGAAAACGACACACTTGCTATACCTACCTCCACTGTCACTTTTTCATCCGGTATTCAAGTCTTGATTATGAAATCGAAACTTATTGACTCACACGGCTTATACACTTTTTCTTAATGCGGATTTTGAGGGCAGTATGACTTATTATTAAAAGAAACGTGTCGAAACTGGTTTTAAATTCAATTTAATTTACTTCACGTTTTTTTTCTATCTTCCCAGTTCTAGGACTGTATTATAGATTTTTTATTTTTAAATGTTTATAAAATATATGCTTAATATTTTATTATGATCGAAAATGCACTTCACATGCATGGCATTTAATATTTTTTGGGTATTCCTCTATATAGATCTCTATGTAGATAACTCATATGGAATTATTGTTTACTCACTAAACAAAATGTATCTACCAAGATTATCGCCAAACTATCATTTAGCTAAAGACAATTGAGCTATACATATGTATATCTAATAGGTGCAGTCCAACTTAAGCAATTAAAATAAAGTTTAAAGAGCTATTAAATTTTATTTACTGCCAGTGAAGTAGAGCTTTTTTAAATTAATCTGTCCTTACTTATAAAATAAAATACTTATTTTAATAAATAAATGAAAAAAATATAGGTTATTTATTACATATGAATATATTTGGAACACATTTATGCATAATTATATTTCTTTTTTCAATCAACAAGCGCCTTTTCTGAAACCCATTTCAGTGCATGCAAATGCAAAATCCTGTAACATTTGGTAGATTTTTTCTTCTCTAACTAATATCTAAATGACAATTTATATTGGTACGTGGATTAAGGTAAATCTTGGCAATTACACTAACTTAAATAATATTGATTTGTAATACATATTATACTACTTTTGAAATGTTTTAGTATACAAATATTTCAAACTAATTTTTACCTCAATATGTATTATAGCCATTTGAATTCACATCAATAATCATACGACTATTTTCATCAATATTTGAATTAATTTCAGTGGCTATGATTGTAAATAAAGTTCTATTTATCGAATCGACCGATTTCAATCCAATTTGCAGTCATGGAGATTTTCTTCGAGGATATGAGTTGCACGTCTGCATATTACAGTCGACTCACGTGGATGCTATATGCAGTTCGCTTAGTATATTAGGACACGTTGAAACACGTTACATAGCGAGCACAAGGCTGTCACAGCCAGTCACTCGTTCGTGACCCGTTGACTGATTTTAACCAAAACCAGGTCAAGATCTTTAATTCATTTCGCTTTTGATATTGAATAGCTCTCATTGCATTTTAAAAATTAACCTATTGTGTTAAATATGTTATAGACACAGTCGTTCATGATCATGACCAAGTTTCTGCGCAATGTTCAAAGTATCAAATTTGAATTACTTGCAAGTGTTACATTATGAAATATTAATGTATAAATAACTATGTTTTAAATATTTTCAACAATAATTTAAGGCGTTTTCTTCTCTTTTTATTTTCGTACGATACTCGATAGCGGGACTCTGTCGGGAATAACTTTTTTTATTACCTGCTGTTACCCTGGTGAAAGTAGGCCTTTCATAAAATCCTGTTCATTTATTATAGTTGTATTATATCTTAAGTTTGAAAAAGGAACAAAAAATTTCTACATCGGTTATTATTTTGTTTAATTTGTTCCAATATTAAAAATTATGGTAATCATAAATTGTCAGTAAAATAGTATAAAGTTTGTTTTTAAAATATATATTGTATTTGCAGATGTGCCTGAATTGTCATATCAGTTAAGATTCAATCATCAAGTCATATTTATTTTTTTACGTAGAATTTTCATCAAAAATTGTGTACTTGTAGTATACAAAGAGTTTAGGATACAAGTATGAAATCGCTAATGAGCGACATTTGCAGTGCGAATGTAAACATTAAGCAGTAGCTGGTAGAGATATTATGTTGAACGTTCGCGGCAACCCTGCCCTGCTGCGGCAACGCGCGCAAGTGGGTCAGTGGGCCGCCCCCCGCAGCCGCCGCACCGGCCCGCCCGCGCGGTGGCGCAACCGCGCGAACGCGCACTAACATAGACCTGGATCGCGGGAAAGTGGGTCACCGACTCACTTTCACTTATTACATGGGCTCCTAATCGTTTTCCATTGTACGGACGGGCGGGGGCTCGCGGGTGGCGGCGGGGCGCGCATGCGGGAGGCGCCGGCACGCGCGCCGTCGTCGCCGGCCGGCCGCCAGTCGATCGCGGAACGTCTACTCGGCGGCACGTACGCCGCCGTCACATCGACACTCGATACGATCGTAACAACGCGCGCTGACAACAAATTGAACCGACATTGCCACACTGTTCTCTTACATTTTACTTTGGCGTACGAATTTCGCTCATACGAAGTAGGCGTAGGAAAAATGTGCTGGATTTATGTGTCTTCAACAATAGTGATTGAACAGGTGCAGCCCGCGAGCGGCAGATAGTGTTGCGGTCAGACCGCCAGTGAACTCAGTGACTGTGTGAACGTTGTCGCGGTTGAACGCCGCCGTAGGGATTTGTAACAAGTAGCCGCTCTGTGCGGCCGAGCATGACGATGGACCAGCAGACAGGCCTCATGTCTCTAAACATGTCCCCATTCGATCTCAGTCCCGGCCCGGAAGGGTCAGGATCGGGCAGTGGACCCTCAGGGGCCTCTCAACAATACGTGCCCCAGGGCGCAGCTTATCAATGCACATCAGATCAACAGCCTTTTGGCTATGCGAATCTGGACGCTTCATATTTATTTCCGACAGGTGCAGGCAGCGAACCTGGAGCATACTTGCCTGCCGCTGGCACAGTTTGTGACCAAACCGATACGAAGGATGTTATTGAAGAACTTTGTCCCGTCTGCGGAGACAAAGTCAGTGGCTACCACTACGGACTGCTCACTTGCGAATCTTGCAAAGGCTTTTTCAAAAGAACCGTTCAGAACAAGAAAGTGTACACCTGCGTTGCAGAAAGAGCCTGCCATATTGATAAAACACAGAGGAAGCGATGTCCCTTTTGTCGCTTCCAAAAGTGTCTTGATGTCGGCATGAAACTTGAGGGTAAGTTTTTATGATATAAGATTATTACTATAACTTTATAGACAAACACAGAACAAAGAATGTAACATGACTTTATACGATAAGTCATTTAGAAATGAATATTTCAAATATGATTTTTCGCGACACATATGTATGTAGGTCAGGTAGGCGGCAGTAGCGAGCGGCCCAGATGTATTACATCATTTAGCGCAAGCAAATGCAGTAAAACTGAAAGTTCTTAGGGCGGGCAAAATAATTTAATGTGTATTTTCTGAAGTAGGTATTTTATCTCTTTGTTAAGGAAGACAAGTTAAAATATGAATACTTTCTTAAATTTAGGCGAATATTTACATTATAAAAGAATGCTGAAAATGAATGGAAAGATAGTTTTATTTATAATTAAAATATGAAACATAAAAATATACAGTATTCTTAAAATAGATAATGTCATTAAGACTTTTAATAAGGTAATTAATTATCTATACAGATAAATAAAATTAAGTGTCTGTTTGTAATGTCAAAATAACAGCTTTTTACTAAATACATATGAAGTTATATACAGTATTTACAAGAAAAACTCATTTTTTTAATTTTTGTCTTGTCTGTTTGTTCCGGCTGACCTCCGAAACGCCTGGACTGATTTTGACGGGACTTTTACAGGTATATAGCTGATCTTATAAGAAATAACTTAGGTTACTTTTCTTTTAGAGAAAGAATTAGGGTCTTATTAGTTTTAGGGTTCAGTTCAAAAAAATGAAAACGATCCTAGGGACGCACCCAAACGAAGCGAGGGTAAGGCACTAGTTGACAATATTATTACCTTAAAATATGCTGTTAAGTAATTTTTATATCACTAGGACAAATCTACATAGTTACACTTAATAAGTTATTTGGAATAATAAATAAAGAATTGTTACTTTATTAAATTCACTGAAAAACTTTATTATAATTTTAAGAGTATGATGTCTTCGAGTATATTTAAGACACATACAGACACTTCCAGTAGTAATTATAGACATGACTATAAATTCACTTGATCTCAATCATCTTTACAAATTTAAAGCTTAAACACGTCAATATGGCTCTATATCGCTCATTTCATTAGGTTTTTATGTAGTACAGGTAGAGTGACCTCAATTACATATCAATACTGACACAATTTCATTTTATTTTTCTTTAGCATTTTTTTCTGTAAGCCCTTTAGTTGCATACAGATATGGTTGGATATGAAAACAAAGACCATATATATATATAACCGTACGTATATAAAACAGTTGAACGAGACAAGTAAAACCACGGTTTTGTATTACTAGCGACTCACCCTCGCTTCGCACGCGTTCGCCTCCAGAAAAACGAAAACAAATCTATCCCACGGGAACCGAACATTTTTCCAGGATAAAAAGTAGCCTGTGTGCTATTCTATCTTTGTGCCAAACATTCAGATCCGTTCACCCGTTCTGGCGTGATTGGGTAACAAACATCGATCCAAACATCTAAACTTTCATATTTATAATATTAGTAAGGTTAGTAAGATTGGTAATGCGCGTTTGTGTATCATTTCCAGTACGTGATTTAAATTTCTGGCTCGTAGCTCATCTACTTAGTCTTCATTTTTACTTGCCTCGTAACGTAAAACCCCGAGTCTATTATGGGGCGAGCGAGCAACCTAGTAAGCAATTTTTTTTTAAATTTCGTAGTATGCTTTGGCGAAACAAAAGAGAGCTTGAGACTTCGCTCAAGATTGTTTTAAGTTAGATTATGACACTTTACAACGTTAACCGTTGTTCATTAAAACTACTTACGTTATTTGGTTCTGAAGTCATACACTCACATAAAGAGCAAGTAATCGAGCTATATTAATTATATATGTTCATTCTTATACATTATGTAAGCATATTGGAAAATTGTTCAAATTAAAATATTAAAATAAATTATGATACATACTAAAAATCAATGCAAATTTTAATTTGATGTAAAAGCTATTCATAATTATAATTAAAATTTAAAGTTATGCAGTAGCAACCAAAGTCAGCATTTTGTTGACCGGATATATCGAATAATTAAGTTGTTTCATCATTTTGAGTAAAATAGGTAATGATAATAAAATACAATTATGATTATCGCTAAATGGATAATGTCACGTGTATTCAATTTTATATTAACATACAAAATTACAACATTTTCAATGCTCTCAGCAGCGACTTTGACAACAAAAGCATAACTTGGCCATCAATAAAGTACATAATTGATTAAACAGTAAATCACTGTTTAATTAAGTTATAATCAACACATAAAAAGATATGAGAAGTCAGCACAGGTAACAACAATTTAAAGGTTAATTTGTAGTTAGGTGATCGCGTGGGGCGTAGTTTGAAGCGCAGATCGTTCTAAATTTAAAACGCGCGCGGCCGCAGAGCGCCCTGACCTACTTGCGAGCGGGGCCGCGATGCGGCGCGCGCGCTGCTGCCTGTGCGTGCATGTACGCAACGCGGTGTTGCCGCTGTGTGCGTAAGTTGTTCACGATTGCGCGTTTCGCCAGATGCTGCGATGTTTGCAACACTCAATGCTTACGCTGAAATTTGAATTGAACGTACCATACTGATTTTTGACTAATATAGACAGACTAGTCTTCTAGATGTCTATCTTTCTGATAGAAATGCTGTTAGGCAAAATCAGTTGACGTTATAATCGAGAAATAATAAAATGTTTCTGCATAATATTTATAAATAATATAAATATTTGCGATTATTTTCGTCGCCTAAGATTTTGTGTATGTTTTCAAAACTCATTTCATACACTAATTAAGAGGTGCGGTCTAAGTGGGCCTCATACGTATTCGTGTACCTATTGGGTAGTATGCGACTAATTCGAAGCTTGTTACGCCCTTATATATCTTTATATTCTTGATGTTGAATTAATTACTTGAAGATGATAATATTATACTCACAACACAATAAGCCCCTTTTATTGAAGGGATCGCTAATGTTGATAGTTTTCATTCATCTCCTTAACCCAATAATAGGTTATGTTATATGGTTTACTACATTAAACCATTACGCGGCTTCTTCTATATATTTATACACTGCAACTTACTTAGATAATTGGGTTTACATTTCGTAATGTTTAATATTTAACTATGACATTTCTCTTTTTACCACTGCTCTAGTTTCTTATTGTTACGAATTCTCCTAAGGAACATTTTATAATATATTGGAACTAGCTAGTACCTATGTTTCTATTATTATATTTTAAAATTCATAAATACTTTTATAGGTATTAAAAGAAAATAAAGCGACTCAGTATGAAAAAATAACATTTGCAATAAAACATATGTCAGATGACACAATTCTCACAAATCGCTGTCTGACCTCAATCGTGGTTGCGAGAGGCGCAGTGCCTGCCCGACCTGCAACGAGCCTTGTGCAATGCCAGCGCTCCATCCGCGCCCGCGCATCTAGCACTCTGCGATCCGTGTAGAGAACCACCGCTACCATTACTTGAAATTAAAATTTATGTAATAGTTAATCGAAGTCACTAGACTCATTCTGTTACTATGTTTTAATCTTGTTGTTAAGCAAATGTACTTTAAATAATTGACCTCAATTTCGCTTAATGCCTCTGTATGTCGTAAATAGTTGCTACTGAATGTTTCTGTACTATTATCTAGTCAATTTTAGTATTGTAAATAAAACTTAGACATACGAAGTAACGATATTTTCTTGGAAATAATTTAATTAACATTTCCTTTATTTTTATTACGTAATTTTCAAATAATTGTTTAAATTGTCTGCAATAATAATATATATAGAAATTATTTATAATTGTATACGAGTATAATATACGTTTAAATGAGAAAATATTATTAAAGTAAGTAGTAAAAGTAAAATAAAGTCAAGGGTTGCGCACCAGGCGCGCGCAAACGACTATCGTACATTTCGACACAATCGACCGCCGTCGGTGGGGTGTGCTGCGCAAGCGGTGTTTCATAAGACGCCTCGCTCGACCTGTCGCAACGGACTACCCAAATGTGACCTGAACACGTATCACATTACACGTCCCTAGCTATCCATGCCGAATTTTAAGCATCTTAACGTCTGTAATGCTTGTTGCTAAATTCTTCAAAATTTTTTTGCCTTATATTTAATTTCAAATTAAAATGCCGAGCAAAAGGTCTCACTTCTGTAACATTTTAGTTATATGAAGAACGAATTGTCGTAACATTGATCTTGTGCACAAGATCAGGATAACAATGATCTCTAGTAGCATTCATCGTTCATTTCCGTGCTGTGTATGTTTGAATTGGTATTCATAAAATGATGATTGTTGACGTGCAAGTGGTAGTCCACGTGTTGCGACGCGAAACTGGCAATCTATTCCCCTACCCGGCCATCGGCAGCGATAACGCAGTGGACCGAGATTAACAATAATGATCGTTGTTACATGGACCACAGCTCGCTCCGTGCATGCTACCTTACGTAATCTATAGCTATAGCTCTCCCAAACGACAACTCCTAATTTAATATATTAAATTTCAATAAGAAATTGGAAGAAGAATTATCAATATAATCAATTTGCTGTTAATCGTTTATGAACCTTGCTAGAGAAGTTTTCAACACTCTTGTAAGAATCTTTTAAGATTCTCTTTTGATTGACAATGGACACAACAATAGACTAAATGGTTCTTAACTATGGTGATCTGATAATTTTATATTTCCCATAAGATTTAAAAAATATGCCAATCGCAGAACATAATTTTTGCGGGGGGTTAAGAGTTTGCGGCGCGCGACAGATGTTAGATCACAATAAAAACGCGCGCGCCAGCAGACTATTTCGGCGCACTGCCTTGACCCGAATTGGGTGTTTCGACAGAGCGGCCTCGCACACCGGGCCTTTCTATTTTTTAGGTATTACCTGTCTTATTATTACGACAGCTTTGGTGGTGCCGCCATCTTGAAAAGATTTTGGTGCGCAGACGATTCAGGGTTTGTAAATTGCTTTCCTCAGTACTACGATGCAACTTA